CTGGACCCCCGATCCCCGCCCTCAGCTCCCCGCCTTGGAGCCCCAGCCCCGCCCTCAGCCCCCGGACCCCGGCCTCGTCTGCCTTCGGCCCCCAGGCCCCGCCATCGGGCCTCAGCCTCGACCCCGGCCCCTGTCCTCGGCCTCCGCCCCGGCCTCCCCGCCTCGGCTCCGCGCCCGCCGCCTTCCGGGCCCCACCAGGCTTCGGCTGCCCACCCTCCCCTGGTCCCGGCCCTGAGGCCGCCGCTCCCGGTCCTTACCGCTTTCCAGGTGCCTAGACCCACGGTGGGGATCGTCCACCAGTCTCTGCGCGACTCAGGAGTCATGCCGCGCCACCTTCCCGGGGCTGGGGCCCGCCGGGGGCATCGCCACAGCACCCCTGGCGACTGCGAGAGACGCCGCTAGAGCTGCGGCCGCGACGGCCGCAGGCGCCCCGATTGGTTGAAGCGCCGCTCGGCGGACACTTCGATTGGCTGGGGGAACAGCGCCGGCCGGGCCTCCGATTGGCTGGAAGCTGCACGCGGTGGAAACTTCGTTTGGCTGGAGGCGCAGCGCCGGCCGGGGCCCTAATTGGCTGGAAGCGCCGCGCGGCGGAAACTTCGATTGGCTGAAAGGGTGGCCATTGCTAGATTGTATAGCAGAATATGCTTAGTTTTGCAAGAAGCTGCCAAATTTACTTTCAATGTGGCTGCACCAATTTGCTTTCCCACAAGCAATAAATGAGAGTTCCTGTGGCTTCACAGCCAAATTAGCATTTGATGTTGTCAATGTTTTGGATTTTGGCCATTCTCATAGGTGTGTGGTTGTATTTCACTATTTTAATAATTTGCAATTTACTGGTGAGTGATGATGTTTCCCGGTTTGCCATCTGTGCTGCGATTTCAGATCTTTTGCCCATTTTCAGTTAGGTCGTTCATTTCCTTATTGTTGAGATTTAAGAGATTATTTTTGTATGTATTGATTAGCAGGCCTTCATTGGATGTGTCTTTTGGAATATTTTCTCCCAGTCTGACTTATCTTCTTGTTCTCTTGACATTGCCTTTAGTGAAAGAAAAGTCATTTCTTTTATTTTAATGAAGCCAGTTTATGAATTATTTCTTCATGGATCATCTTTTTGATGTTTATCTAAAAAGCCACAGCCAAACCCTAGATCACCTAGATTTTCTCTTATGTTATTTTATAGAAGTTTCATAATTTTGTATTTTACATGTAGGTGTGTGATCCACTTAGAATTAATTTTTGTGAAGAAGTAATATCTGTGTCCAGGTCATTATTATTATAATTATCATTGAAGGAGGATGTCCAGTTATTCCAACACCATTTTGGGGGGAAATTATATGTTCTTCATTTTATCACCTTAGCCCCTTTGCTAAGATCAGTTGACTGTTAGGGGGGACTTTTGACCTTGATTATTATAGTTTTATAGTAAGTCATGAAGGCGGGTAGTATCAGTCTTCCAACTTTATTCTCCTCTTTTGATATTGCATTGTCTATTCTGGATCTTTTGCCTGTGCATATAAACTGTAGGATCAATTTGTTAATATCCACAAAGTAACTTGCTACAATTTTGATTAGGATTATATTGAATCTATAGATAAATTTGAGAAAGCACTGACATCTTGAAAATACTGAGCTTTCTGTCTATGAACATGGACTAACTACCTCTCTATTTACTTAATTTTCCTTTGATATCTTTCATCAGTTTCATAGATTTCCTCATGTGGGACTTGTACATATTTATTACACTGAACTATGTCATTTTGGGGGTGCCAAAGTAAGTGATACTGTGCTTCTAATTTCACTTGTCCATTCCTGGTATATGGAAAGGCGAGTGATTTTTGTATATTAATTTTATATTGTGCAAGTTTTCTGTAATTGATTATTCGTTTCAGGATTTTTTTGTTAATTCTTTGGAATTTTCTACATAAAAAATCATCTCACCTATATTGAAAGACAGTTTCATTTCTTATCTCCCAGTCTGTGGGAATTTTATTTTTCTTTTTGTCTTAGTATTTTGAGTAGAACTTCCAGTACAATGTTGAAAAAGAGTGGTAAGAGGGGGTGTCTTCGCTTTCCTGATGGGAATGCTTTTTAACTGAGTGGTTTCACAGGAAGTGCCCTAGTGGGTCAAATGTCTTCACCTGATGTGTAAGTAATAGCGTGTCATGTGAGCAGATAAAAAAGGACCCTGTTTTTGCAGTTATAGATGGATTATGGAGAAAAACAAACATGGCAGTATATCATTAAAAGACCCTCAGACCACTTTCCAGGGTGCAGAGGAAGGAATCAGAAGGAATCTGTCTGTAAGTGCTGGTTAGACATTCTCACACGTGGGGAAATCCCTTCCTCAAAGCTCATCAACAGGCTTCAAGTACACAGAAAGTAACCAGGAAGTGGCTGAAGTAAAGGGTAAGAAGACGGCCACAGATTGTAGTGCGGGGGTCTATGAGGACAAGACTGCAGCTCGCCATGACGAGCCCTGTCCCTCTGCCGCTGCCCAGACTCAGGCATCGCGTCATTTACCACGGGCAAGCTGTTGTCGGACTTGAACTTCAAATGTCTCCTTTATCTTTGTCTCTTGATGAAAATAAAAATTTCCAAGCAAGCCAAGAGCAAGAAATGTGGATTACCCTGTCTAAGTGGCTTTAATAAGTTTGGGAGCCTGTGCCCATATCTGCTAGGAGGGCGGAGATTCTGAGACCGCTGCAGGTGCTGCCGTGACCTGCCGTGACATCATCAACGCGCTGATTCAATTTTGTTTCATTTTGTCATTTCACCCCAGTGCTGGAACACTCTGCAAACCAGCAGCCTTGGCCGGCATGGAGCACACTCATCTTTCCTCAGGTGAATTTTTTGGCAGGGTAATGGGGACAGCTTACCTTCAGCAGTGACTGTGCTGGGACTGGCTTCTTTACCAGCCCAATTGGAACTAAGTACGGGGGAGGAAATGTTTCCAAATGCATTTGCGTTTTTGTGCCGGACTTCATGTTCCTTAAATTGGAGGAATAGAGATTAATTAGACAAATAGAAACTGTAGAGGGAATATCTGCCTTTTTTTTTTTTTTTTGAGACAGAGTCTCAGTCTCACTTTGTTGCCTTCGGTAGAGTGCTGTGGCATCATAGCTCGCAGCAACTGCAAACTCTTAGGCTCAAGGGATTCTCTTATCTCGGCAGCCGAGTAGCTGGGACTACAGGTGCCCGCCACAACGCCCATCTATTTTTAGAGACAAGGTCTCGCTCTGGCTGGGGCTGGTCTGGAACCTGTGAGCTCAGGCAATCCAGCCACCTCGGCCTCCCAGAGTGCTGGGGTTACAGGTGGAGCCTCCGCACTCAGCCCTCTCCACTTCTGAAATCCACGTGGTGCCCCCCACCCCCTGATAGGAGAAGCATCCAGGGTCCCACCCTCAGTGAAAAAGCAGGTGTGGGGTGTGGCGAAAATGACACACACACACACACACACACGTGCTGTATGCAGATACGAGCACACACACGTGTCAGGCTCATACCCAGTACTGCACACACGTGCACATACACACTCAACTCAAGTGTGCACACACAGGCACCCATGTACAGAGCACACACACACACAGATGTGTCGCATGTGCAGACACCGACACGAGTCCACACGTGTGAACGCACACAGCACACGCACACACTTCCACCTGTCCATCTCTACCCCACACGCACAGAGCTCTTGGGAGGGTGAGAAACGCGCAGTGATTACCGTGGAGCAGCCCAAGGAGACAGAAGGCGGCTTTTTAATTGTTAGATATTGCCAGGTTATTTTTACAATGCACACATTTTCATTTATAGTATCTTAAGATAGTTCCTAAATTGAAGTGGTGTGAGAAAAGACGTTTTCATATTTCCTTTAACGGGGCAGAATAATGTGGCGTAAGTGTTGGGACCTCAATCTCCCCTGAGAGACCAACAATGCACACATGTAAAAACAAAAAAAAATGCTTTCTATTTAGATGCAAGCATATGCCTGGGGCACTCCACCCTACAGTGCAGGAGGGGCGACCGCGAGGTGAAGCGAGCGCAGGTTTTTAAAGCGCTGGGAGGAATTTCATCGGGTGTGTTGTCTGGCAGGGCTGCTATTGGCTGAGCTGTTTATGGTTAGGGACTTTCTAGAGGGGAGGGGGCTGCTTGTTTCTTTCTGACAGACTGGCTCCCTCTAAGCTGACTGACCTTGTGGAGAAATACCGAGGGAGGGGAGAAGTGCGGGGGAGGGGGCGTCTCCTTCTGATCGACTGATTCCACCTGATCGACTGATTCCACCTGCGCGACCTTGCACAGGAGGGGGGATGGGGAGTGAGTTCCAAGATGGAGTCACATTAACCTCTTCATTCCCAAATGGAGTTACATTAACCTCTTCAGTTAGCACGTATTTTTTTTTACAAGCATCATTTTATGAATAATTATTTTATTGTTGATTACTTATGGATAGATTCAGAGAAAATACACACCGAGTGAATCAAGTTGATTACTACTTAGAGTGTCCTTCCCCGGAGCTTTCAAAATATTTTCTGACGTTGTAGAGTTAATTTTATTTATTTGGAAAATAAAATTGAGGAAGAATAATTGTTTGATAAAAGCAGTTACTTAAATATTAGTGCACAACGCTCCCTCGGACCCAGGACTTCAACATGGCGGAAACGCTTGTGGGCTTCATAGATTGGTGCCTCCTGCCCTCTGGCGGCCATTTCTCAGACTGCAGGCAAGGCCGTGTGAAGGAGGATAATTAGCCTGTAACACAACCCAGGTGGGGAGCATCGCAATCCCAATTTGACAGATTAGAGGAGCCTGAGAATCATCTCGCTCAACTGCCTCATTTTAATTTTGCAGCATAATCTTGAGGCCTCGATTATATAGTATCGCTTGATATTACTGACATGAAATTGAATTTTGGCATCTCAACTTAGGTGTTTAGATTATCCCAAAGCTACAGTAATTTTCTATAAAACTTTTACACTTGTGGTATAATCTTAGACCTTATACTTATCACACAAGAGGGGTTACCCAAATAAATGAGTAAATAAGACACTTTTAAATGTAGTCACTCCTTCCCCTACCATTAGGTAAGTCCTTTAAATATTCAGGTCTTTCATTCCTTGTTACCACTCTACCCACTGTATGACCCTGTCACATTTTATAAGGAATCAGAGTGACACCAGGCAGGCTGAGAGAACTCAGCCAGAGGCAGGCCCAGGAGCTGAAAAACAATTTGACCCCGAGTTTGTGTCTTAACTTTCTGTCTTTTAAAAATCCATGCAGTTCATTAATTGTGAATTGATTTTCAAGTGTTTAGCCAGGTTAATTGGGT